GTACTCCGGCATCAAGATACACGATCGTCCAATGAAATGGACGAGATAAAACCTGGCTGAATTGATCGAACGTCTATGTAGGTTGGTTTGATCTCTTTTTCTTTAATGTTTTAGTGGAATCTTATAATCGGTGTCCAGTTTACTTTTACACGCTTCTGTAGGAAAGTTACTTTACACAACCACCTTCTGGCCCCTTTTGAATGTGTTCGAGTAGGCTAACAAATAGGGTACTTCCACCAAAAAAGGTTAAACTGATCATACAATGCGTAGTCTCTAATAATATGGTTTACTATAATGTAGTGTATGCTCTGTGGTTCATAGTCTACTTATGCATGAAAGTACAGTCCTAAAGAGAGTATAGTAGAGTAGGGTGTAAAGTAGTGTTTAGGATGTTTTAGGGAGGTACATGTTTGGTTAAGGCCCCCATAGAATGTAGACATATCGGGTGTCCCGGACTCTACTAAGGTATGCTAAGCCGACTTTACCCCCAACACTCTCTCCCAACAGATCGAACGATTGTGTTTGACACCTTAATACCCACAATCAAATCATTAAATCGCTCCGGGATTTATTTTTTGTCACTCCTCGAATTAATTCTAAACTGGATTGCTTTTTGTGAGGTATTTATTGAAAATTTCTTCCCGAACTGACCGGCTCAACGACGCATTTTGTAATAATATTACCTTACACGATCTCTAAGAATTCTTCTCGCCCAACAATTTCTATATCATTCCTGACTTGAGTTTCAAGTAAGTAGATCTATGTCGATTATATATATTTTCTTTTTAATTAATCGTGAAAAGCATTATGATTTGTTAAACTTGTTAAAATGCAAGTTTGATTAAATTTCAATTCGAAATAAACTTTGTCGATTCTATTGAGTTTCATTAGTTGTTCATTCAACTTTCAATTGTCTCCTCTTTACTGAATCAGTTCAGTAAACCCAGGTTTATTATCAATCGCGACGGATCACTGGAAACATTTTCAGATGTGTATCATAGTATTATTTCACCTATTTACCGAAAAGCTAAGGAACGTTCCTGACTATTACTGCAAAGTAACGCAGTGACGGTATTTCCCATCTCTAAGCGCACATTCGTGATCACTGTTGGATTGTTGACATCGACTTGTGACGACCCTGCACTCTGCAGACAGGAAGAGGAACGGCCTCAGGTCCGAGCCATCACACATCACACACTTGGCACCGCAGACTGGTGTAATGGTACCGTTATCTGCACCTTCCACCCACTATACCTACAATCATAATGTGATCCCGATGATACGCGAGTTCCTATTGACCAGTGATGATAGACACAGACATACTTCAACTATTAGTCAACAATTTTGATCATAATTTATTGCAACATAAGCTTTTGTATGATGAAACTAAATTCATTGAGAAATATTTCAACCTCGGTGATTCGCTTCCGTAGTAAATTACCGTACCTTTTAAGATTATTATGATTGTACGAAGATAATGCTGAGTAGGAGTGGAGCAGAAGATATATGTTGTAGAGATCGCCAATCTCTACTCTTAGACTATTTCAAGTAAACTTGACAAGTTTTACGGTTCAAAACCGAATCTAGCTGTGCATCAACATCGGGAGGAACGAGGAGCTGGTATTTGATATTAACGGATCAATTACGTTTTCCATTCTACACTTATCCTTCATCTATCTTGGCCAGACACGCGTGTAGTGGACGAGTAGCTTGTGACACTGACACGGGCTGTTGTGGTGAATGGTCCGGCACACAGGCACGCCCACGCTCACACAGCGATAACACGGGCAGTCTGATAACAAACAGGATCTGGGCAATACACTGACCGCGTCCTCGCACCGCACTATAAATAAACAATCCGCACGGTTACAAAATGTGCGTCGGTGAAAGCAACCGGTTATCTAATGAAACTAGTGTTTAATTATGTGTAGTAACATGGAAACACTATCACATCTTGACACAGCATTGACGTGCGGACACGCCACGGCTACTGCAACGTCTTGTCACAAGTGGCGAGTGGCAAGGTGAAATGTGACAAGTGCCGCAAAGTACACGGAGCACGGTACACGCGAGGGATGTCGGGCGTGGCGATATGGCACCTCCCACTTACTACTTACCTCACTCTGGTTCCCACGAGACTGTGTAAAAGTATGGAACAACGGCGTTGGCTTGTCACCAGGACCAACACCGAGTTGTGCCTGGAGTCTCTCTCTGGAAATCACTCACACGGCCGACATTACTCTTGGCATCCTTGCAGACAAGCCTGAAGAGTGACCTAGCGTCTGGAGACTGATGAGTCAATAATTTGTTTCAGCTTTAACATCAGTGGTATTTTGACTAAACCAATCCAATCCCCTTGCGTTTGTAGATACGTCATGTAACGAACCCGTCCCACTCGCCGATGTCTATATTTTAATACGCTAACCTAGCTAACCACTACGCTAACAACACACATCGACTCCTTTTGAAACAGCATTGTAGGGGTTCGAATTAATAATTATTCGAATTAATTAAACCCGGGAGGCCAAAGACCACCAGGACGGAATAATCTAAGATGGTGGAATCAAGTTCAAAAAGATATTAGAAGGTTGGGATGAAGTAAAAATGAATCTCAAGAAAGAAACACCTAGTGTCAGTTCGAGGGCTAGGCCAAGTACCTCTTAAGGTACCAGTGGCCACTCCAGTAAGTGAGTAAGTTTTGATCTATCTTAGGCCCTCGCACTATTGGTCCGACAAATAGTATTCAAGCCATCAAACACTCTCGGCATACCGACACTCGGCAATTACACTGGGGTCCGGGGGTAGACGATTCTTCAGCACCACCAGACCTCAGTTTTAGTAGCAGATACATGTGTTGGCTGCGCTAGATGCCAGCATCGATGTATAAAATGCCAGTTGACAGACACGGGATCCTGAGGAACATGCAGGAGAGTTTGCGTGGGACCTCAGACCTCAGTTTCAGGAGCAGATACATGTGTTGGCTGCACTACATGCCAGTTGACAGACACGGCGGTCCTGAGGAACATGCAGGAGAGTTTGCGTGGGACCTCAGACCTCAGTTTCAGGAGCAGATACATGTGTTGGCTGCACTACATGCCAGTTGACAGACACGGCGGTCCTGAGGAACATGCAGGAGAGTTTGCGTGGGACCTCAGACCTCAGTTTCAGGAGCAGATACATGTGTTGGCTGCACTACATGCCAGTTGACAGACACGGCGGTCCTGAGGAACATGCAGGAGAGTTTGCGTGGGACCTCAGACCTCAGTTTCAGGAGCAGATACATGTGTTGGCTGCACTACATGCCAGTTGACAGACACGGCGGTCCTGAGGAACATGCAGGAGAGTTTGCGTGGGACCTCAGACCTCAGTTTCAGGAGCAGATACATGTGTTGGCTGCACTACATGCCAGTTGACAGACACGGGATCCTGAGGAACATGCAGGAGAGTTTGCGTGGGACCTCAGACCTCAGTTTCAGGAGCAGATACATGTGTTGGCTGCACTACATGCCAGTTGACAGACACGGCGGTCCTGAGGAACATGCAGGAGAGTTTCCGTGGAACCTCAGACCTCAGTTTCAGGAGCAGATACATGTGGTGGCTGCGCTCGCTCCGATCCTATCGTCTCTGATGATACGCTGTTTCCGGCCTAAACTGGTTCCTTTTATATAACGCAGTGTCTAACACGGAAAACAGAATCACTCAGCTCTCCTCAGCAGCACTTCGCTACACATCGGCATTGTAGTTGAAGTGTGATTTCGTTAGGAATGTTAATTAAAATTGTATATTGAAACAAAATTAGGAGACAATAATTTACAAAATTAGTAAACTTATGGTAATTAGGTTTCTTAAACAATGTATTGTTTATGATTGCACTCTACTGCCTCTACTTAAAGCAACAATACTGTCAAAAATTACTCATTTTACTCATTTTTGTCTAGCATGATTAGACCATGGGAACGGGGTTTTACGGGGTAAAAATTGGATTTTCTCTTTTTTGACCCTCAAAACATAAAATTTTCAAATTTCTCTCTAAACCTTATTAAAAAGCTTAAAAAACAAATAATTTAGTATATCAAAGTATTTTTGTACGGTTGGTGGTATTGGAGAAAACTAAAAAAAAATTTTTAATTTAAAATTCCCATGTTATTCTTATGGAGAATACTGTACTATAAAATGTTGTAGATTACTTTTGTTTATGGATATATGTTGATCAAACTTGGCAAATTTATTTATTTTATACCAAGCTATTAATATTTTACTAAACAACACACTTTATTAGTTTCCTTGTAATAGCAAACCTAGGTCCTCGAGTGTGGATGTAAAGGAGCTCGTACGCTTCTCCCACTGCCATATGGGAACATTCGACACATCACTAGTAAGTGGTGACGGTATCTCTATCTCGAAACACAGAAGCTCAATTTGCATCTAATAGACGGACATTTGTATTGTCCTGCGCGGGATCTTGTCTATTGTCCATAATTAAGCCTAGATCACCCGCCTGATGCCGGCTAGCCACTGCACATGTACCCTACGTAGTTGTAGTTCCAGGCAGAACCCTACTTTAATTTTTTCACAACCTGTTTTTAAAATCTAAGTGATAATCACATCAATATGTCCATAAGTCCTTGTAATTATGTTTTTCTGAGTTTGGTGCTCGAAGGCCGTTAAATTCGTGGTTGGATAGTTTGCAGATGCCATTGCATATTTTGGATGATTTTTTTTAGAATCTAAATAAATGTGTTTTTTATTACTGATAGATTCTGGCTAAATAAAGGTACAGAACTAATTGCGTCGTCAGTATCTTGATAGTTCGACGGTGGATCAAGCTCACCGTGATTATTCAGTTTTTGATACAGGGTGACTAAAGAAACAGTTGGTCTTTATTATTTAACAAATTGTACAAGCTATCCGTTCTGTATATAGCCTTGCCTTAGAAATTTTTTTTAAATACGTAATAAAAACATGTTACAGTTTTTATGTAATAAATTCTTTTGTTCCAGAGCGTTGACGCATCGGGATTTTTTGAACTGCAGATCCTGGAGATAGCGAACTACCGGGGCGAGTTGTCGAGCGGCCAGTGTTGCGGAGGTGTGCCGCGAGCGGACTCCACCGTGCCTTGTCCTCTGGTGCAGTGTAACACGTTCTTCCGCGTCTGTCTCAAGGAGTACCAGAGCAACGTGACATCCACGGGCTCATGCAGCTTCGGCAACACCAGCAGCCCCGTGCTGGGCGGCAACTCCTTCACTCTGACAGACCCTGACCGCGCCAACGGCAAACTGGTGCTGCCCTTCACCTTCCGCTGGACTGTGAGTACACTCTTCACATACTGTAATAGGGATATAGATATATCGTACTGGGACATTGTTATAGAAGAACATAAGAACATTGAAGAACATTGTACAAAAAGATACATAAGTTATTGTCGCTTAAGGTTCGACACAACAGGTAGAATGCAAAATATGTTGAGATGAGATCCACTCCAGTGACGGAGCGGCGTGGTGGTCTTCCATCCCTTAGTTGCCACCCCCGTCCTCAAACGTCACTGTAGCCGCGGTCCTTGATACCAGCTACTACTGGGCTGTCAATCCCTCATTCGCAGTCCAACTGAAAACTCAATCTATTGGTGGATGAATCAATTCGTGTAAAATTTGTACAAATAATGTTAACGTTTTTCGTCGTAGTAGCAAAATCACCTACAAGTTAAATCTAATCGAAAACATTTTATCGTTATTGAAAATCTTCTATCCCGACTATTAACATTTCCGTAGCCGATGACATGAAAGCTGTAAGCAATCTTGTGGTCAATATTCGCGACACACTCGCCGTGCCCCGGGAGATGAGAGCCGGCACTAGGACGCGGGACCGTTACTGCAAGCGGGAGGTCCCCACTGGTCCTCTGTCCACTCATTTATATGCGTAGCTCCTCTCTTGATTACTCCATAACAATAATAAACTCCCGGGTAATGACGTATTTATTGCCGCGAGGACAGCGTGGAGGCGGAAGAGGTGTTTTCTCCAAATCCCCGCAGTTTATGACAATCCCTACACTAACGATGTCCCATAATGGCGTGGCAATCACCGGTCGGCTGCTTCTTCACCCCTATAGGTGTGGATTATGTATATTTTGTACTTAATTCCTCAAGTCCACTTTCGTAATTAAGTAATCCGAGTACCTCAGTACCTTTATATTCCTAAATTTAACATGCATGAAGTACTGTATTTCTGAAGTGTATCGATAGGATATTATCAAATAGGATGAAACGTGTCTATGATCTACGTTACTATGCAGGATGGTTAATTAAACACCCAAAACTCTAAGATGAATGTCTTTCGCCCATACAAACTTTCATAATATTACCAAAACTCGCTCTCCCGGGATTCCAGTTCCCTAACTGAGCTTACACTAACTGATCAATTCCGATACCGCCGAAGCATATTAATTGATAGTCTCACCGAATGAGCAGATACGGCCCACGTTAACTTTTGTTTCCCAAAAAGTTTTTACTGACCTACAAATCAGACGGGCCAATAATGAGGTAAGGACGGGACGCGGTGGGCAGATGGGCCTTGATACGATCAGGGACAGAGACACGGCTACGGCGACATTCCACCAACGGCTCGTTTACATGCTGATTAGTATCATTTCTCAGCGATCCCCACACAAAACTAGTTAATTGTTGCTCTTTTCAAATATCTTCGTCATAGTCTGTTGTATACAACACGTAAGTTTATATAATAGTAATGTTAAATTTGTTATTGAACACGCTCATTGTTGAATTTGATTGACTCGGTATTTGAGGTTTCGACTATCGTAGTTGACAGTCTTACCGAGGATCACAGCTTACCTCAAGTCTCAAGAAAATTTCGATTTCTCACGTACTAGAAGGCGTTACATAAGGATAAAAGTTCACTAAAAAGGATTTAAAGGTACGTTAGACACCTTATCCATTAAACGAATCAAGAAATAAAAGATTACAGTAGGTGTATATACCAAAATATTAAGAAAATGATTGTTATAAGACGAAGCCCAGTGGCTACATCCTGATACTGTATGAGTCAGAGGTGTTCCAGTGCCAACGGTCCTCAGTTCCCACCCACCGTGCCAACGTCCGTCGTTCCACGTACCACGTACAGTGCCGTCGTTCCCGTTCTCACCAGTCACCACCGCAGTGTCTAGGGTGAGGGAAAGCAGGCCCGGGCTTCACATTCCCTTATTCGCTCGTTGTTAATTGTTACCGATGTCAGTTTTTTCTCGTGTTATAAACAGTGGCTGCAGTTGTAGTTAACAAGTTTCAGTTATTCTGTACGCGCTTGTTATCTTGATAAGCAGTTTCAACTCCAACCTTCCCGCTTATTATAAGTATCGTTCGCCTTATATCGAAATCCTGTTTACCGTTGGGTTATCGTCTAGTCTCACCTCGTCTAGGAGTGTGTTCGTTACGATTTGCGTGGTAACGAACTCCTCTTATAGTTATCTATTTATATAACACAATATGTGTGAAATGTGCTACAAAATGCAAAACTATAGGTACAAATCAAACTATTTACTGGGATGTACGTGAGTTACTCAATTGCTAACCATTGCCTGTAACCTCAATTTTGATCATCCTACTATTAACTGAGGTTTAGTATTGGTAACCTTTACTTAGACCAAAACTAGGATTAACCGCAAATGAAAGAACAAACCCGTTGTTTATCGAACTCATGACGAATCCAGCGGCTTTCACTGGCCGACACAGCGTGCTACAGGTTAATTCTAATGTTTGTGCCGAGGCCGCCGAAACCACGGTGCCCGGGACTCAGACCAATCTTTGCCGGTATTTAATTGCGGTCCGTGTGGGCAATCAAGCAATCAGGCTATCCGGTATTGGTCCAGATAATAGTAGATTGTAATGAAACCGAGCACCTCCCACCCGGGCTGCTACTTCAAATTACAGCCTTGGGCTCGAGTGTGCACGACCGACTGTGAGCACAAGCAGCGAAACCCTAACATCACAACATACTGACGCGACTATACAACCACCGTAGAAGTGCGAGTCTCTAAAACCACCTACAGCAAGAGGTGGTTGGCCGAAGCCCAGTGGTCTCTCCTCTACCCCTGGTTTAAGTCAGAGACTTATTCATTCGGCCACTTTCTAAATATCTTCTGGTACATCTTCCTGCTGTCAGCTTCAATCTTCGTCTTTCTCACCCTAGACACCTCTCCCCTCACCTAGTAGCCTATGTATCTGTCTTTATTTTATTTTCCTATATTGTTGTCCTTTTTTAAGCCTGTCCTTCCGAAATTTCTATTTCATGCTTCTTCTTTCCTATTCTTCGGCCGATACTGGCGAACTCCAACGCTGCTTGCTTCTCAAGAAATTTGTCTTCTCCCAGTTCCACAACTTCTATCAGAGGCATTCCTTCATCTCACTTACTTCTTCGTCGTATAACCAACATTTAATCAGTTCGTGTGTTTCTATAACTTGTAGCTCTTCGCAGTGGGTGCAACAATCGTCTTCTCGAGGTCGAAACTCTTTAGCTTCGCCTTCACTCAGTCAGAAACTGCGTCGGCCACAGCTAGAAGGATGAAAGCTTCCTTGCTGAAGTAGGTAGAAGTTTGTGTGAAGTAGAACACTTTTCACAAACAGTGAAGTGAGTTTTTTCCAAACTATAGATGTATTTTAGAAGTGAAAAGTATAGTTTAAAATGCTTTGCAGATCTCCTTCGTCTGTGTTGTGAATTGCGAACCAATTCCTCTTCACACGATTAAATTTAATATACAGTATAGAATTTGTGGATAGTTGATCTTAGGCTGAAACCATTTGACAAATTCATATTTAAAAAAATCTATATCCATCAATATTGCTAAGCATAAACTACAATCAATGCTGCTAATCATTACACAATGGCAATACAAATATAGTTTCCATAAAACTGTCTTAGTTTGGTTGTGGCTTAAGATTTATGTGTATGTTTTATCTCAATGTACTTATGGTTTTCTCCACTAAGCTAAACGTAGTATTTGTAACCCGGAGTTTAAAACGCTTCTTTCTATCTTGTATAACGTTGTTTGTGCTATGTCAGGTGCCGGGGTAGGGCGGCAGGTCTGCAGAAGTCTATAATGAATGGTCGGCACGGGGGTGACAATTGGCCTGATTGGGGCTGAGGTTCACACCCCTCAACGCACCACAATACAATAACACTTGATTACGACTCCAAACATAAATTTTGATGTGAGCCCTGTGGTCTCCATTGGGATTTAAACTTGCCCTGGATAATTGTGTGGGTTGTTGCGGTTGCGGTCTGATAAACTGCTTGGGGAACATGCAGCTTGCATATATTTATACTCTTACAATATATTCTAATTGAGTATTGTTTTATCAGTCACAACTGTCATAGTTTTTTTTACTTTATTAATTTTTAATGTTTATGTTATTAGGGTACATAAGGCGTTAACCTAGAGGTAGAAAAAAGGGTAGAATAGGAACAGTTGAAAGAGCAAAGGCGCCAGGATTCACCCCTGGGGTACACAGCAGACAACTCTCCCTGTCAAATCGCTTCACATCAAACTACTGGCTCACTGATGGATGGTATCTCAGATATTTAGCCAGGTCATATCAATTCCAATAGCGGGTTGATTTACCCAGTAGATTTATTTAAGATGTGCTGGGTCGGTGGTTGGCGGTCCCCAATATGCAAGTGTGGGCGGTGGTAATGCGAGATGTCCGATACCCGGCGACAGCGACTATCCGTTGCCAGATATGGATCTACTATAATTGATAGCTGAGGCCCGGTGCCCAGTGATCGATAAAAATCTGTCGCCTCACTCGGCCGCTCGCTTAATTGGCTGGGAACAGGCGCGTCTCTTGTTAGCGCGTCTCTGTCTTCGTACATATCGCACTGTTACAATTATAATGTTACCGTGCCCCAGTTTGCGTTGTTACATTAGCCTCGCTCTCGTTATCAGGTCCTCTTACCTGTCTCCGCGTCGCCACCACCTGCTATGCATATACACGACACTGCCTTTGCATACTAATCACATCAGAACAGGATTGCACAACCCATTGTCAATTGAGTGAGATATGGGTCTTATAGCATCGCAGCACCACAGTTCCAGCGAATAATGTATTATAAAACTACAGTTTATGCATTGTACAATAACTATACACGTCTATTTTGCTAGCGAATATAAAGAAAGGCCCCCGATTTCACCTTGTTTGCTCACTACACGTGTAAGAATGCGCGCGTTTACGGGAGATTACAGATCTAAAGGCGAAGGCGATAAACGGATGCGCAATAAATAGTGGATTGTTAGCAGCGCGGT